ATCTCTCTCATCAAAGATGGACAAGATGATGATCTTGTCCTTAGGCCACTCCAACCACAACATCAGGGGCGTTGGATACACGTCTTGCCAGAAGAACCAGGTGCAATGCTGACATAAAGAAGATATAGAGGGGTCGGAGCGATAGCACAGCAGATAGGGCGTTTGCTTTGCACGTGGCCGACCCAGGTTAAATTCCTGGCATCTCAAATGGTTCCACAAGCACCACCAAGAGTAATTCCTAAGTGCAGAGCCAGGAAAAACTCATGAGCATCACTGGGTGTGACCCAAAAAGCAAATAAATAAAATTTAAACTAAAAAAAAAAATAGAAGATATAGACAGACTGATGGGTAAATTCAGGGGAAGTCTGGCCCCCAAAGGCCTGGTTACCTGGGTATCGTTGTACACATTCACAACATTGACTGGTCTGTGGGTGTCACAAACAAAAAACGTGGTGTTTTCATCAGGTTGAAGGATATCCAACAGGTCTACATTAGCTCCACAATTGATGAGGATAAAATAATGAAACTGAAAAAAGAAAAGATATTGTAAAGTAGGTGCATTGCTAAGGGCTTGCTTTTTCACACTAGGACTCTAGTCCTTCTGCTGAAACACATCAAACCTCTGATATTCAGAACAGCCCTGATGGCAAAGGGTTCCAAAGATGGCTATGGCTGGCCTGTACTAAGTGCTTTAACACAAACTGTTTCATTTCCTCGACACTGTGAGGCAGGCCCTGTTGCTGTGTAGAATTCTGTCCCAATACCTCTGAGGTAAAGTGAATTACACAGATGCATTCTCCAAGGGTTAGGTACCATATCTCCCATCAAAGACGGACAAGACAATGATCTTGTCCTTATACCACACCAATTCAAAATGGTGTGCTAATCTAAAATAATTTTCTCAAAGTATAGTCGAAGTGACATCTGCAATTGTCTGTTCATTGCAGCACTCTTTACAATAGCCAGAATCTGGAAAAAACCTGAGTACCCGAGAACAGATGACTGGTTAAAAAAACTTTGGTACATTTACACAATGGAGTACTATGTAGCTGTTAGAAAAGACGGAAGTCACGAAATTTACATACAAGTGGTACCACATGGAAAGTATCATGTTAAGCGAAATGACTCAGAAAGAAAGGGATAGACATAGAAAGATTGCATTCATCTGGGGGAACATAAAGTAACAAAATAGGAGACTAACACCCAAGAATGGCCGAGATTAGTACCAGGAATTTTACTCCATGGCTTGGAGGCCAACCACACATGCTAGGGGAAAAGGGAGCTCAGATAGAGAAGGGAAAACCAAATAAAGGTGTTGGGAGGATCCTCCCAGGATGGGAGAAGCACGCTGAAAGTAGACTATAGACCAAACATGATTGTCACCCATTGCCTCTTTTGCAAACCACAACACCCAATATGAGAGAGAGAACAAAAGGGAATACACTGCCACAGAGGCAGGGAGGGATGGGGGGATGGGGGGTGGGAGGGATACTGGGATCTGTGGTGGTGGGAAATGGGCACTGGTGGAGGGATGGGTATTTGATCATTGTATAATTGAAACCCAAGCACAAAAATGTGTAAGTCTGCAACTGTATCTCATGTCTCACTATTAAAAAAATAATAAAAAAAATAAAATAAAATAATTTTCTCTTTGTTGTATGGGCCACACTCAGCTGTGTCTAGAGGTTGCTCCTGGTTCTATTCTCAGAAATCGTTCATGATGGTGATGGTGGTTGGACATTATATGTGCTTCTGGGAATCAAACTTTGGCTGCATGTAAGGCAAGCATCTAACCTATTGTACTATCTCTCTGGCCCCTAAAATAATTTTAACTAGGCCATATCAGAACCAATTGCTATTTTTGCTCCTTATAATAAAATGTCTGTAACACAATGAGTTCATTACCTATGCTTTTGTTTTCAAGTTTTTCTCCAAAATTTGAGAGTAAGTACCCATATTATAGCTCATTTCTTTCTTATTTGTTGCCTTTTCATTTACTTCTCTTTCTTTCCTTTCACATCTTTTTAAAATAAGTTTTAATAAATACTACCTTGCCTCACCAAGATAGTAAATAAACAGTTAAATGTACATGCAATTTATTGTGACCATAAGAAGAATGGTAAGTGCTAAGGAGTTGCAATTATAAAAAAAAAAAAAGCCATGGGCTAGAGCAATATTACAGCAGGTAGGGTGTTTGTCTTGTACACTGCCAACCAGAGTTTGATCCCCAGCACCCCATATGGCCCTCTGAGCACCAACAGAAGTTATTCCTAGGTGAAAAGCCAGGAAGTAACCACTGAGCATCATCAGGTATGACCCAAATCCCCCACCCTCCTAAAAAAGTCCAATTATTGTAAAAGACATCTTTCATACCTGTTCTTTATGTTCAAGATACGCGGTTTCAAGTTCTTGCCACCCAGAAACTGGAACCAATGTATACTGCACGTGGTCACATTGGAATAGGGCCTGGAGAAAAATTATTTTCAAACCCTATCAGATTTAGGATGTCTGCAATTTACCTTGAAATCCATTTTGAAAACAAACAAACATGCTATTTTGGGAGACAAATGATAAGTGATAAATGAAGCTTGTAAAATGTTACTAGGTCACTGGGGAACTGGGGAGAGGAGTTTTCACTGTATCATTCTGACAATTTTGTTGATTTTTAAATTAGCAAGATAGGCTTGCTTTTTTGTTTTGTTTTGGGGTCATAACCGGTGGTGCTCAGGGGTTACTCCTGGCTCTACACTGAGGAATCACTCTATCACTCCTGGTGAGCTCAGGGGACTCAGGGGACCATATGGGATGTCCGGGATCAAAGAGGGATGGGCATCCAAAAGGAAAAAGAAAGGGGGGAGAGAGAGAGAGAGAGAGAGAGAGAGAGAGAGAGAGAGAGAGAGAGAGAGAGATGGGGGTGGGGGAGTGCCTGCCATAGAGGCAGGCTTGGTGGGGGAGGGGAATGGCCGGAGAGAAACTGCTGACATTCGTGGTGGGAAATGTACACTGGTGAAGGGACTGGTGTTGGTGTCGAAGACTGTATAACTGAAACCCAATCATGAACAACTCTGTGTATCTCCCAGTAATTCAATAAAAAGAAGAAAAAACAAAAACAAAAAATGGGACGGAAGCACCAGAGCAGGCTTGCTTTTCAAGTCCATGTTCTCCGAGAACAGGTGACTTGCCTGCTTGTCTCTGCTTATTTCCACTCTGGAGTAGCCTGTGTTCTCTCTTCAACACTTACTCCTCTTTCTTTCCTCTTACATCTTTCCATCTTTCCTTCCTTCTTTCCTTCCTTCTTTCTTTCTTTCTTTCTTTCTCTCTCTCTTTCTTTCTTTCTTTCTTTCCTGGTCACACCGAGCGATGCTCAGGGGTTACCCCTGGCTCTGCACTCAGGAATTACTTCTGGCGGTGCTCAGGGGACCATATGGGATGCTGGAATCGAACCCGGGTCGGCCGCGTGCAAGGCAAACGCCCTACCTGTTGTGCTATCGCTCCAGCCCCAACATTTTTCTAAAACAAGTTTTAATAAATACTATCTTGCTTCACGAAAATAAATAAATTAGCAAAGTAAAACACCAGAAGAATAACTGTCAGAGAAGTGGCTGTGGAACCAAGGATCAAGGCTCATATAAACAAGGCACCATATTCAAAACTTCCAGTGGTCGGGGCTGGAGCAATAGCACAGCGGTTAGGGCGTTTGCCTTGCACGCGGCCGACCCGGGTTCGATTCCAGCATCCCATATGGTCCCCTGAGCACCGCCAGGAGTAACTCCCGAGTGCAGAGCCAGGAGTAATCCCTGTGCATCAACGGGTGTGACCCAAAAAAGCAAAAAAAAAACAAAAACAAAAACAAAAAAACCCAAAAAACCTTCCAGTGGTCTTCCTTAATAGAAGATGAAATCCCACTGCTTATCTAAGCCTCACTGTCAGATTGCCCCGTCTCAAATCCACATTCGAGGAACCACTACGAGACTCTCAAACTTTGGGGGGGGGGGGGCCTTTGTATTTAGGTTATTGTATAAAATACTAGTCATGGATCTTAGTCAATTCTAGTCAATACTTACCAAGACCCCCTCCCCAGCTTGCAGCTGTTGCTAAGTCTCCAACCCAAGCTGAGCTGTCATCCAGGGTGAAAGCGGTTCCCCGTTCTGTTCCTCACCTCCTGACCTACCCCCTACCCACCTCCACTCCGGCTCTCCTCTAAGTTCCAAACAACCCCACACTTCAAGTTCCTGCAGGGCCCACGCAGCACTCTCACTTCTCATCCCAGCCGCACCCTTCCAGGACCCGTCGGACTCACCTGAAGGATCTTGCACGCGCACAATGCGTCCACGTCCGCGGCCACAAAGAGAAGGACCCTCTGTAGGATGGAGGAAGAGAGCTAGCCAGGCACAGAGACACGCCCCTACCGCCTCCCCACGGCGATCCCCTTCACCTCTTCCTCCCGAAAAGACCTTGGGCCCCAAGCTGCTGGTTACCTGGCTCTGAACCACCTCATAGAATTCCTTGCGAAAATCTGACACGAACATGACCACAGCGGTGAGGGACTCAGAGCGAGCGCGGTCACCGGGAACCCAGGAGCCGGTCAAGACTCCCGCCAAAGCAGGGCTGTTATGATTGGCCAGGGCCCACCAGCCAATAGCTACGTAGTTCCCAGGCTTTCCTCCTTCGTGATTGGGCCACTTGGGAGGCGGGCTCTAGCCGCCTCCAATCCCTGGTGGGGAAGTCCGGCCCTCCTCCCGTGGAACGCGATCAAAGGCGGGATGCAAACATTGTTTGCCACATCCACACTGACTCCCAGTAACCCAGAAACCCGACGGACGTTAGGAAGAAAAGCCTATTGTTTCCCGCGGGCAACTCCAAGCGGGGACGGATAGAAGAAACTTTTTCGTCTTAAAGTAAGCATGTTGACGCGTCAGCAAGGGCGTCAGTTCAGGACTTCAGTAAACTCTCGGTCTAGGTTTAGAGCTAGAAAGCGGTTATGTAGCTGACTTCCGCCCGAGTCCACGATGGCTGAAGCGAAGGCCGGAAGCTCCCTGTGCATTCTGGGTAGTGTAGTCAGGAGAATGGGCCGTACCTAATTCATTTTGAGGGGCGTACTATCTAGCATAAGGTAGTTTTAAATGAGTATAAGAATGACTTTGACAGGGTGAAAATATGGAGATTGCATTTTAGTGTACGCCCCTGTGAGACTTAGCTCTTAGGGTCTTTGCCTGATTTTTGTTTTCCTCTGCAGACGACCCCGATCCGCGGCACCGCGCCTCGGGTTTCGGATCCGGAACTTCCGGTAAGCGTCCCCGAGCGTCCATCCCCGAGCTGCGGCGTCGGCTGTGAGGGACGCGGTGCTTGGACTCCATCCGAGCGTTTTCTGGGTTGAGCGGCTTCGGCAGCGGTGACACATCATGGTAAGTGTAGCCGGGAAAGGATCGGGGGCTGGGACTTGACGTGAAGGTGGCGCGGACTTGAGGGCGAGGAGATGCCGAGTCACGCGGGCCTGCGCCCGAGTCGTTTGCCCGTCCCGAGCACATCGGGCCGGAGCCGGAGCGTTGCCCACCGTCGCCGGGGCTCCTGTCCGCTTGTCCCGGGCCCGGCTCGCATTGCCTTGCAGTTGAACTTGAGCTCCTTAAGGGTGAAAAGGAACCGTCTACGTGTAGGGCCGCCCAGGGGTCTCCAGAGTGCTAGACACGGAACACACCGCATTGAGTAAAACTTTGTTGGGCTGTGAAACAAGTAGTTGGGGGGGGGGGGGGGGGCGGGGAATCCCAGAGGCGGAAGCGGAGTGGGCGTCTAGGTGGGCGGGAACACTCGGCTTTTGCTGTTTCAGGACGCGATCTCTCTTGGTCATGTGATCAGAGCCAAACTCTCCTGGCTGCGAAGCTCAATAAAGATAATCGTAGTAGAGAGCTTTTCCTTTCATTACAACGTTAGTCTCCCTCCCCCACTACAAACACACACACACACACACACACACACACACACACACACTCCTCTTCTTAATTTCGGGGGCCGCGCAGCGATAGCACAGCGGGTAGGAGGCTTGCCTTTCTTGCTCGCGCCCACCTGGAATCGCTCGTGGACAACCCTTATGGTCGTATGGTCCCGAGGTCTGATCCCGGAGCGCAGAGCCAGAGTCAGCCCTGACACCGCTGGGTGTTCCCCCTCACCCCCTCCACTCCCCCCTCCCTTTTTTTAAATGGACCTACAGCAAAAGGCCTAATAGCTAAAGCAATCTTGAGGCAAAGAGAAGCGGAGGTGTCACGTTACCTGATCCCTGAGCTCAGCGCAATGAGTATGCCCTGAGCACAGTCCAGTGGCTCAAAAAAAAAAAAAAAAGACAAAAAATATAAGTAAATAAAAATTAGCCTACCGATTGGGAGGAGATATTAGAACATTGTTTATCAGGTGATAAGGAGTTAGCTAAAGTATATTTTAAAACTCCTATAACCCAACAATACCAGAAAAATGAAGGCCCTCCCGTTGTTCGTCGATTTGCTCGAGCGGGCCCAGTAACGTCATGGGGAGCTTGCCAGGCTCTGGTAGCTTGCCGGGCTCTCCGAGAGGGGCGGAGGAATCGAACTCGGGCCGGCCATGTTGGCTGCGTGGAAGGCAAACGCCCTGCCGCTGTGCTATCGCTCCAGCCCAGGAAAATAGCCCAAGGTAGAAATAGAAGAGCTGGGAGATGAAAGGGCTAGAGCTTGTGCTTCCCCTGCAGGGGATGGTTTAGTTCTGGTCTCCCCAATCTTGTGGAGAAACCCCACCCCCATCCTAGCTCTGTTGGGTGTGGGACCAAATAATAAATAACATTTAAAATATTTTAGGGGCCAGAGCAGTCGTATGGCAGGCAGGGCATTTGCCTTGCAAATGGCCAACAATGCATCTGATTTCCAGCACCCCAAATCGTCCACAAGCCCCACCAGGAGTGATCTTTGAGTACCACCAGGTATGGCCCAAAAAACAAAACAAAACAAAACAAAAAATATTTGCCAGACATTTATCTAGGCTTCTAACGAGGACACATAGACTGGCAGATAAAAAAAATTTACTTAAAAGGGAAATGCAAATCAAAACCACAATGAGATCTCACCTGTGAAAGTGGCTTACATCAAAACCAACATTAAGTAATCATTAGGGTATAAGAGAACCTTTGTGTTTGTTTGTTTTGTTTTGTTTTTGGGCCATACCTGGCTCTGCTCTCAAGAATTACTCCTGGTGGGCTCAGTGACGTGATGCCAGTGATTAAATTGGGTCAGCTCCCAGCAAGGCAAGTGTCCTACCCACTGTACTATACTCCCGCCTAGTATAGAGAACCTTTGCATATTGTTTGTGGAAATGGAATTTGGTGCAGTCATTTTGGGAAATGGTATGGAGATTCCTCAAAATGAAAATGAGAATTACTGTGTGACCCAGCAGTCCCCCTTCTGGTTAGCTGTTCAAAGAATATAAATTCATTAACTTGATATGTGCAACCAGATGGACATTGCAGCATTAGTAACTTTAGCTAAGATATGGAAATAATCTAAGTGATCATTGATAGATGATTGGATAATAAAAATGTCTCTCTTACTCAGGGACATTTAAGCCTAAATTTACCCCATAACTAGTTGCTTGTTTGTCTGGGGCCACACGCAGCAGTGCTCAGGGCCTACTCCTTTCTCTGCACTCAGGGATCAGGTAACAGGATACAGATACTTCCATTTTTTTTTCTTTTTGGGTCACACCCAGAAATGCTTAGGGGTTACTCCTGGCTCTGCACTCAGGAGTTACTCCTGGCTGTGCTTGGGGAACCATATGGGATGCCGGATATTGAACCCGGGTTGGCCGCATGCAAGGCAAACGCCCTACCCGATGTACTATCGCTCCAGCCCCCTCCATTTTTCTTCTCTTTTCCTCAAGATTGATTTCGTTATTTGGTCTTTGCTGTGGGTGCGAAGACCAAATCACTCCTGGTGGGACTCTGCGACCAATGGTCTGTAGTGCTGGGGGTTAAACCTGGGTTGCCGAGTGCTTGCTTGGAGTGCAAGGCAAGCCAAGTGCCCTGCTGCAGAACTATCTCTCCAGCTTGGCTAGTTGTGTAATCTTTTATTCCAGTTAAGTTCTGTGCAGAGCATTAAAGAGCTTCGCCGGTTTCTTCTGCTCTAAAGCAGCTTTTCTGGAATTCATGACTCATTTCAGAGTCTTTACTCGGGTGACTATAGAGGTAGCTTCCCAGCCAGGAATCTGAAAATTTTTGTCTGATTAAAAAAAAAATCGGGAGGAATCGGAGGTTATTGGGATTGGGATGAAGGGTACTCAGCTCAAAAATCTCTGCTGTGTGTTATTCTGGGGAGTGAGGAGTTGGCAAATAAGAGGGTGATAATAATGTTAATTTTGGAATACAGAAACTACTACTGGGAATAGTTGGGTTCTTTATTTTGGTTTTTGGGTCACGGTGATGCTCAGGAATTACTCTTGGCTCTGCACTCTGGAATTATTCCTGAGGGCACTTAGGGGACCATATGGCATGCTAAGGATCAAACCTGGGTCTGCTGTGGTCAAGGCAATTGTCCTAGCCACTGTACTGGGAATGTTTTTTTGTTGGTTTGTTTTTTCATTAAAACCCTTCTAGTAAAATCCATAGTTAAAATCAGGGGTCTTACCTGTTTTGTGGCACTATGTCACTGTTTATTAACATGAGGAGTAGAATATGAGTACCCCTATAGGGAGAGTCCCGGCCCTAGGAAGAGCAAAGGAGGCTCCTGAAGACATGATAACCAGGTAAGCCAGGAGAAGGGCCTGGGCCCCTTCTGACACCTGTGGGGAGTCCTTTTCTGACCATCTACTTAAAGTAGCAGAACCTGGCAGATAGCACAGACTCGATAAATAGATGTTTTAAAAAGAAATTTTAATTGGTGAGAACAGGAAAGAGGTCCAGGGGAAAGGCTCAACAGTGGGGACCTGGAAGGCTTAAGAACTTGTGGAACCATAGTACTCATCCTGGAGATGTATTCAAGGTCCTGCCAGATCCTGGGCAGCAGGAGACTCAAATAGGTTAAAAACAGGTGAGATGTGACTAGTTTTGTGTTTCATTAATATTACTCTATCTCCAGACTGGTGGAGACTAGGCAGAGGGATGAGACTGGCATAACGGTTGGTTTGCCCCAACACCGCACCTTACAAAGTGCCACTCTGTCCCATTGGGATTTGGGGAGCGTTTGGTTCTTAGAAAACATTTAGCACTATCAGTTACCCTGTTATGTTTGGATACTGACACAAAGAAGTGTACATTTGTTCTGTCCTAACGCCAGCTTCTCTTCCCTCTAGTTCTCTTTCAACATGTTTGACCACCCGATTCCCCGGGTCTTCCAGAACCGCTTTTCAACACAGTACCGCTGCTTCTCCGTGTCCATGCTTGCAGGGCCTAATGACAGGTCAGATGTGGAGAAAGGAGGGAAGAGTATGTGCTTGTTTTTATTTTGAATAGTTACCTTTCCCTGCCCTTAGCTTTCACTATATCTAGCCAGACTGCCCTTCTTTTGCATGTATAACCACAAGCTGGTTGTTCTGGTAAAAATTTTGGTTGCCCCAGTTTTGATAAGGGTGGGTGGTGGTTGGGGTTTTTTACTGCTTGTTTTATTATCATACCTTAATTATGACAAAGTCAATTTTTACCTCACAATAAATTGCAGCAAATCCTTTATAAAAGCCTGGCTACTCTAAAAATATTGGTGCTTTAAAGATATAACAGAGAATGCATTTTAACTTTTGTTCTCTTTTTCATTTTTATTTTCTGAATGTTTATTTTTTATTCTTTCCACAGTAATTATGCCTCCCTCAGCCCTCGATCAACTCAGTAAGTATTTTACTTGAGACCTAAGGTACCATGAAAATGGAAGCCAGGTGTCATTCATCACGACCCTGAAGGGGAGTTGTCCCTGGAGGGTGTCTCTCTTGGTGAAGAGAGCTAGGGCCATTAGTGCCCTTGGAGGTGTTGGCCAAATCTTTAGGGATGGTGCCAGAGGACTCAGCTCCAACTTCCTTGTTGGTGAAGGGTTCCATTCCCCTGACCCTTGCCTCATAGCTGTCTGTCCATTTTCAGGCCGACTTAACATCACCTACCCCATGTTATTCAAACTGACCAACAAGAACTCAGATCGCATGACACACTGCGGTGTGCTGGAGTTTGTAGCTGATGAGGGCATCTGCTACCTCCCACACTGGGTAAGTGAGAGCCCCCCTGGTCTCCGGATTTCTGTGCCTCTGATCCTGTTGTGTGTGGGGGACTTCATAAGCAGGGGCAGCCCCCAACTTCTGTGCAAGTCCTGCTCCTTGAGTGACACTGCTGGTGGGCGGAGATCGGGTATAGTACACAGGACTTTGACAGTGAATTTGTGAACAAGTAGGTGATCCTTGCCTCGGTGAGGGGGTGAGGGGCTGCCTTTTCTCTGATTAGTTAGAAGCCACCACCGTTCTGTTTATCTGCAGTGTCCTGGGTCAGACTCTTTTAAAGTAATGGAGCAGGACTATTTTCGAAGTGGTCAGAAACTACAGAATTTCAGCTATTTATAGCTTTGCCCCCAGTTTTTAGTAGTTTTTCTAGTTCATTTATAGCATGTATATTTTGAAGACACTTGCCTGTAATCGAATTTTTCCAGAGCATTCAGCTTCATTGCCACGGGGATGAAGCAAGGGTTATGGAGGTTCTCTAGCCACTGCTGAAGAGCTGGCCTGAAGTCCTCCCCTCTCTGGGGGGTTGTGTTGAAAGGCGCTTTCTGCTGGCTGCTGAACAGCAAGCTCCGTCTGACTGGGAGCTCCCAGCTTCTTGGGGGCAAGTCAGCCTGGATTCAGTGCTTTGGGGCTTCATCTTAAGATCCAGGACTCCCAGAGACCCCACTGTCAGTCAGTGTGTACGGAGACCCATGTACACACACACACAGTATCCAAGCTCAGAACAAGCCTCCCAACTGCTCTGGGGCTCAAGCAGGTGTCTGAGCACTCAACTTTCCTCACACTGCCTGTGACTCTCCTCCCTTCAGCCATCAACTCAATTCCATTCCATTCTAGGAAGGATCACTCCAAAGTCACCATCCTCTCTGCTTCCAGGTCCTCTTGCTGCTGCATTCTTCTTGACCACCTTAGTGAAGCATTCGCAAAGGGCTGTGATGTCTGGGTTTGCTCCTAGCTTATTGTGGGCTGGGAGTGAGGCTGATAAATCCAATGAAACAACTTGGGGTGGGAGGAAAAGGCTCACTCAGGTGCTCTAGTATTAGAAGTTCTCATTCAGGCTAAAAATAAGGAAAAATATGCCAGAACACATAGCATTTCTCATTTCTGACCCACCTTCCTTGCCTAATACTTCTAAATGCCAAGTTTATTCTTGGAACAAGAACATAAACTCATAAACGTATACCACACTGTCCATTCAATGATTGGAATGGGAGTGTCTTTGACAGTGGGTATGACTTAATATAGCAGATATTGCTGGACTTTGTCACTTCCACACAGCATCAGCTGAGTGGCCGTACGTGGTCAGCCTGCCCGGCAATATCATCCTATGTCAAGTGCAGCCCAACTTTCCCTAGGACTTGTAAGTTGTGTGGGACAGCTCACAAGTGTGGGTGGCCAGCTGCCTGGGAAACCCCCCCCCCCCCCCCCAAAGGTGGGCCTTGAGCTGGCAGCTGATGGTGCATCTTCCTTCCTCCCAATAAACCAGTTCTCCAGGGCCGGCAGAGATGCTCCCATTACCACCACAGCAGCCTCCTTAGTGGCCTGCCTTCCACATCTCTAGCTTGCTTGCTGGCTCACTAGCAATTTTCCAACTTCCTGACTTCAAATCACAATTACATTACTGATCTCCAAGTCCTTAACTCAGGCTATTCTTTCATGCCTTCCCCCCCCCCCCCCCAAAAAAAAAGTCCAAGTGAATTTGAGACTTCATCAGTTCCTTGTATGAGTTGAGGGCCATTCTACTGACTTTTTGATTTTTCTGGATCCTCACTCAAGCCTTCTTCTTTCTTTAGATGATGCAGAATTTGCTACTGGAAGAAGGGGGCCTGGTTCAGGTGGAGAGTGTCAACCTTCAAGTGGCCACATACTCTAAATTCCAGCCTCAAAGCCCTGACTTCCTGGACATCACCAACCCCAAAGCAGTGTATCCTTTAGCAATAAGGGACAAAACAAGGATGTTCTCACAGTTGGGAAATAGCAAGTGCGTTATTCAGCATTGGCCTACTTTGGGTATCACATACATGCTTGAGATTGAAGTTGTGACAAGAGAGAATCATGGCATCTAGCTGGTACTTTTGCCATGGCTTCTAGATGTGGGACCTGGACAGGTGCTTTGAACACTCTGTTGTCCATCCTCCCAGAGGCTCCTTGTGGCCAGCTATGTACTTTCCACCTACCTGAGTGTGGAATCTCTACCTAAGTACATTTTCTCTGTTCCTCAGCCAGAGGAAAGGAAAGGATTTAGGTTCTGATGAGTGTGTAGTCAAGGAGAGTATTGTGTGTGCTTAGGCCTGCAGTCCTTACCACTGTTTGGAGGCCCCAGTTTAATTTGCGATCATTATTTATAGAGTGCTCACTCCACCACTTGTTTCAAAATGCATACTTGAAACTTATTAAGGGGTGTGGTGGGGGGGTATTCTTTTCTTCTTTTTTTTTTTTTAATGTGTCTAGAATCAAACCTAGGACTTCGTATATGCAGAGTACCTGCTCTACCACTGAGCTGCATCCCCAACTTCAAACAAAATAACTGAATTACACAATTTTTGGGCTGGAGCGATAGCACAGTGGGTAGGGCCTTGCACGCGGCTGACGCGGGTTCGATTCCTCTGCCCCTCTCAGAGAGCCTGGCAAGCTACGGAGAGTATCTTGCACGGCGGAGCCTGGCGTGCTCCCCGTGGGGTATTTGATATGCCAAAAAACAGTAACAGCAAGTCTCAATTTGTTGTGAGACGTTATTGGTACCCGCTCGAGCAAATCGATGAACAACGGGAGGACAGTGCTACAGTGCTGCACAATTTTTAAAAAACTGCCTCCTCTTCTCCGCCTGCACATTTGTCTTTAATGCAATCCCAGGAGCAAGTCGCTACTGACTAGATTCTGGACCTGGTAGGTTGTGGTGGGTCCTCTAGCTACTGCCATCTGTGGACAATGTGTCCTGTGGCCAGCCTGATTACCTGGTCTTTCAGAACTTTGCCTTGCAGGTCCTTATCTGTTGTCAGTGGCCACAAGACTGCCTCAGTGACCTTCAGATAGAAAACCCATTGTGGGGAACCAGAGCAATAGTAAGAGTGGGTAGGGCTTGCATGTGGCCTACCAGGGTTTAGTCCCCGGGTACCACATATGGTCCACCAAGCCCCACTGGGAGTGATCCCTGAACGCAGAACCATGAGTAAGCACCGAGCACTATTGGGTGAAGCCTAAACCAAAATAAAAAAAAAAAAAAGGAAAAGGAAAAACAATTCCATTTGGTTAAGACATAATTTCCTTGTCTGAGCATTTGAATTATTCAGGGTTATTTTTTGTTTTTAATTAGTATTTACTACAATGAAAGGGCTTACACATTTTTTCTTTCTTCTTTTTTTTTTTTTTTCAAATTTCCCTCCTCTCAAGTGATACTCAGGAAGTCTGGGATCTCTTCAATGATTCTCTTCTAATCAGGCCAGCAGTTCATTGCAAGGGCCTGAGGATGTGATACTGCTCTGGTCTTGAGATGCCAGGATACCAAGGCCCCCACAGCAGTGCCATCAGGGCGCACCTGATGGTGCTTGGGAACCTGCAAGGCAGCACCTGGCCATGCTCTGGGGGCCATGTGGTGCCAGGAATTAAATCTAGGTTGGGCATATATGAGGCATGTGCCCTAACCACTGTATTGTCTCTGAGTCCCTGAAGTTTTTAATTAAATTTGTTTTTATTTCTGGGGGGTAGAGAGATGGCTTCACAGACTGAGCACGTGTAGGAGACCCGGGTTTGATGATGCTGTCTAGACACTGCCCAGAGGCATTCCCTAAATACTGAGCTGGGAATAGCTTCTAGATACTGCCAAATCTTTCCTAAAAACAAAAATTCATTTTGGAACTAACTCCTAAAGTTGAGTTATCAACCAAAATATAAAAAGAACAAAAGAATAAAAATTCGTTGATTTTTGAGAAACTTTTGAAGGAACCTAGGAACATGTCTATAATACACTCATTCTTTGTATGTGTTCTTTGCATCCACTAGATTTACTTACTCACCTTTTCCTTTTTTCTGTGCTAGAAATCTACAGCCTTATTGGGATTTTAAAGTTAACCTGTTGAAGTATAATGTACCTACAAGAAAATGCATAGTTTGGTGCGTTTGACAAATGTGCATACACCTTATTTCACCAGTTATTCCACCTTTCCAAATGGTTTCTTCTGCCCTTTGTTGTGAGTCTTCACTGATGCTGGGTCCAGGTTACCTGCAGCTGCTTCCCACACTCGGGATCTGTCTCTCCCTCAGGGTTCTGTGTGGTGGAATCTTATCAGTCTTTTATGACTCAGTCTTTTCCTTAGCAGAGTGTTTGTGATTGCTGACTGAAAGACTGTTGTGTCAAAGCCATGTGTTTTAGTGTCAGCGTGGTTTACTCTCTGCCTGATAGTCACCATCTAAACGCCTCACACATGCATCTCAGACTTTAGGCGCCCATCCGGTCATGGTTCCTTAACAGTGTGTGCAGGTTGGAAAACGCATTGAGAAACTTTGCCTGCCTGACCACCGGGGATGTGATTGCGATCAACTACAATGAGAAAGTGAGTGTCTCAGTCATGGGACCCGCAGTACCTGGAACCCAGCTCCATTAGGTCAGGGTCATTAACAGGTGGCTGTGTGCTGTTTGCTTCTTTTTTGATGGGTCATGGCAGTGTTGGGGTTTAAGGTCTGTTTTTAACTCAGTGCTAAGATGTTGTTCTAGGAATCATTGTAGGGGGTATCAGACTCGGGACTGTTGAACTGTTTCTCCAGCCCCTACAAGTTTGCTTCTTAAAATCTTTATCGATTTAGGCCAGGGAGGTGGCTCAAAGGTTTAGGACACACTTTGTGTGTGTGATCCCAGATTCTGTCCCCAGCACCCACAGTTCCCAGAGCACCACCAGGAGCAACCACAAAGGATCAAGCTAAGAGTAGCCCCTAAGCAATTCCAAGGTGTGACCCAAACCTCCACATACATCCTTTTTTAAAAAAAAATAATAATAAGGCTTTTATGTGTCTATTTTTTGAGCCTTGGATTAATTACTTAGCAATTGTTAAACTGTTTGGGGGACTTGTTGCATTTTCTCAGTGAGGTGAATGATCATCAGTTACAGCTCCGTACACCATCGTAGCCAAGCTACCTGCCCTTAACTGAAACGGTCTTCATTGTGTCCTTGGAGTCCATTCAGCCTAGGTGCATATACAAACAAATACAATGGTAGTAAGTAAGGTACTCTACCATATGAAATAGTAATTGTGTGGGACTAGAGCGTACAGCAGGTAGGGTGCTTGCCTTCCACACAGCTGACCCAGGTTTGATCCCTAGCATCCCATATGCTCTCCTGAGCCCACCAGGAGGGATTCTTGAGAGCAGAGCCAGGAGTAACCCCTGAATACTCCCAAGTTTGGCCCAAAACAACAACAACAACAACAAAATAGTAATAATGTTTAGAGTATGAGTCCCAAAGATGGTATCTAGAATCCTGAAAAATAGAGCTCAGGGAGAAGAAGGACCGAGAAGGAAAGAAATGAAGGAAGGAAGGAAAGAAAGAAGGAAGGAAGGAAGGAAGGAAGGAAGGAAGGAAGGAAGGAAGATGAGAAAGGAAAGTAATAGAGAACAGAGCTTGGGGTCTCATTATACTAATGATGTGGAAGAATGGTATAGTTGTGTATCGAAAGCATAGACTCCACAATGCTGAAAATATGAGATCTAAGCTACTACCACAATTTTGGAATGTGCCATCAACATGGTGGGGTAGAAGGCATGGAGTATGGAAACACTGGTGGAGGGAAGCTGATATTGGTGGTGGAATTGCTGTTGGAATATTATATGCCCAAAACTCAACTATCACGGCCAGAGCAACAGTATAGCAGGGAGGGCTATACTGTTTGCCTTGCACACCACCAGCCCAATTTCACTCCTGGTCATCCTATATGGTTCCTTGAGCACCGCCAAGAGTGATTCCTGAGCACTGCTAGCTGTGGCCCAAAAACAAACAAAACTTGAGTCTATAGCTTTGTAAATCATGGTTCTTTGAGTAACAAGTTTTTTAAAAGAATTCTGAAAAAATAGTCTAGAAAACTATTTATAATTATGGCAATTTGTATTTACATTCAATAATTAAACCATTTGAAATAATGCTACATGTTTTTAGAAAGTGAAAATTTATTTCTTTTCTAGTTCTGGTTGCAACACTGTTGGGTTTATGACCTACTGATTAATTGTGACTTACAATTTAAAACACTACTATAGAAAAATGTGAACATGTCCATAGTAACAGTTGGTGATAATAAAACCACTGGAGGTAGACCAGGGGTTGAGTGGACAAATGGTTGCACATCCACACAGTAACGTATCTGCCTTCTATTAATTAATGGAATCTTTGAAAATAGACTTGGATCTGGGGATGTTGCTCAAGCCATAAAGCCTCTTGCCTTGCATGTGTGAGGCCCTTAAAGACAGACGAGGCGCATCGAGGTTTCTCACTTTACTCTGATGACCTGTCCCCTAAGATTGAAGGTTTTATAAATGGTGGGACTGTCCACATTATGAATTATAAAACCCAGACGTATTCTAGGTAAAAAGAAAGAACCTCAAATGATGTAAAAAAAAAAAAAGTATAACACAATACTTCTATTTTCTATCTTTCTGTTTGTTTGTTTTTCTCCATACACGAAAACATCTTAGAAACACAGCAACAGAACTGGTTTTTTACCTTTTTAAAATTGAGCCCTTTGTTCATCCACAGATTTATGAACTGCGGGTGATGGAGACTAAACCTGACAAGGCCGTGTCCATCATCGAGTGCGACATGAATGTGAGTGGTTCAGATGCTTACAGTGCAGTTGGGCCTCGAAGAGGATGGGCAGTCAGTGTCCCCTGTAAACCATTGCCCAGGAAGATAGAATACAGCCCTTGGGACCATGTGGGTAGAGAGGAGGAAGATGCTGCCAGAGTTTTGTGGCCAGGCTGCTCATCCTGTGATCCATCTCAGGACCAGTGTGGTTGGCACAGTTGCGCCAGTTCTGACAGTGCTGAATCCACTGCAATTTCAATCATGCCCAGTGTGGTATTCTTCGAAGCTAGGGAAGCCTTCTCAGCCCTGAGTGGGGAAGAACAGAGGTACACAGTAGCCTTGTGAAAGACCAGGGAGTGATACTGAGCATAAACAGTGCCAGTCCCAAAAGCTAACCCCAAAAGACGAAAATAAAAAAGGACTGGAAAATTGATAGCACAGGGGTTAAGTGCTTGCTTGACACACAGCAGAACCTAGTTAAGTCCCCAGTACAACATAAGGTCTTCGAGCATTGTCAGGATTAATCCAAGAGGAAGCTCTGAACATTGCTGGGTGTGGCTGGGGGAGGGGGGTAAATGGGAGAAGCAAACAAAACAACCAAAAAGCTACACATTGTCTCGTTCCATTGATGCATCATTTTCATCAGTTTTGAAATAATGAACTTTAGAAATGAGGGCTAGAATGATGAGTGATGATGTTCCTGGAAATGAGGGGCAGTAGAAAACAGCCAGGAGAGAAGTGGATATAGTTAAACGACAGGCTGGGGACCCAGGGGGTGTTGATTGTCTTGATTTGGGGGATGTAGACACCTACAACGGTGATAAAGTTGTGAGAAGGTAATACATTGAAAACTGGAGCAGTCTAAGGGTTGGATTGCATTGATACTTATATTTTGAGAATGATACGATACTTGTTTTATAAAATTTCCTAGCAGGGGAAATGGGGATAGTGATCAAGGCATGTTTCTTAACTTTGTATATGAACCCACAGTTGTATCATTTAAAAATACAAATTTGTATTTGCAATCCCAGTTGGGCCAGGGATGTGACGGAGAGTACTTGCCTCAGTCATGCACTGCGGTCCTAGGTTCCATCCCCAGCACTGTCAAACAAAGGAAAAAAGAAATAAAATAGAAAGCAACCTAAATATAGCCATGTCTCAAACTGTGCTTCTTGGGACACAGGTCGACTTTGATGCTCCACTGGGCTACAAAGAACCTGAAAGACAAGTCCAGCATGAAGAGTCCACCGTAAGTCTCTCCTCTGGCCCTAGCCTGGTCTGCCACCATTGGTTATGATGGGGTCTTTGGGAATAATGCTGTGTAAGGTCCTGACAGCACTCCACTATGTGTGATCTCTGCCAGTGCTAATCTGATACATTCCCTATACCTCTGCCAGTCCTGCTCCTGGGGGGACCATGTATCCTTCCTGTTGGGGTGTGGAGCAGCAGGCAAAAAGGCCCAAGAGGGGCCTTCTTGATAATATAGCAGGTAGGGGATTTTCCTTGCATGCAGCTGACCTGGTTTCATTCCCTGGCATTCCATGTGGTCCACCAAGCCCTGCCAGGAGAAATTCCTAAGCACAGAGCCAGTAGTAATCCCTGAGCATCTCTGGGTGTGGCCCACAGAACAAAACAAAAAAGGGCAGTAATAAACTTGGTTGTCCCTGATGAAATGCTTATCTTGCTTTTCTCTGTCACCCTGTCAGGAAAGTGAAGCTGACCACAGCGGCTATGCAGGAGAGCTGGGTTTCCGTGTGAGTACCTGGCCACACATTTTCCTTGTATGCCATGATTATGCCATCTACTCCTTTCCCAAGTTTTCTGTACCATTCTAGGGATCTCAGCAAGAATTAGGTTGTGCATATGTGTATATGGCACTTTTTCAAATAATCCTCTTACATCTCCTTTTGTCTGAAATTCTCCAATTACAGCATTGTATGGCAAGCCCAACCTTTCCTTATTGGGGGGATTTTGTACTATAAGAGATAGATACAGGGGCTAAGGTCTTGCATGTGACCAACCCAAGTTCAACCTGCAGCAACTGCATGGTCCCCACGCACAGCTGGGAGTGATCCTTGAGCATTGAGTCTGGAGTTAATTCCTAAAAACCAATATGGCCCGCAAACCCCCCAAATAATAATAAATTCCAATCTGTCGGCAGGAGAGAGCTCAATAGGCTGCACATATGCTTTGCATGTGATAGGCCTGACTTTGATCCATGGCACTATATGTTTCTCCCAAGCACAATAACTTGGAGTAGCCCCCAAGCATTGCCATCAGAACTAAAATATAAAAATAAAATTTTCTGGGCTGGAGGGGCTAGAGCGATAGCACAGCGGGTAGGGTGTTTGCCTTGCATGCAGCCGACCCGGGTTCGATTCCCAGCATCCCATGTGGTCCCCTGAGCACTGCCAGGGGTAATTTCTGAGCGCAGAGCCAGGAGTAACCCCTGTGCATCTCCGGGTGTGACCCAAAAAGCCAAAAAAAAAAAAAATTTCTGGGCTGGAGCAATAATACCGTGAGCAAGTACTTGCCTTGCACATAGGATACCTGGGTTCGATCTCCAGCACCCCATATGGTCCCTGTAGCCCTGCCAGGAGTGATCCCTGAACAAAGAGCCAGAGTAATTCCTTGGCACCACTGGGTGTGGCCCAAGACCAAAAACTTTGTAAAAATTCTAACTGATCTACCCAAAAGTGAAAAATAATACAACATATGCATATTTTCTCTTCACTTACTCTCACCTAATAAGACCATATTTGCTTTGACCCTCTCTAAATTCCTGTCCTTTTTCTTTTCCTACACTGTTTGAAAGTAAATTGGCATGTGACCCTCCAGCCCTGCTGCCCTTTGTGGGAAACAGGTGTAGGGGATGGTGGAGGGAAGGAGTCAGCAAAGGAGGCAAACTGGGGGGCTAAACTGTGGGAAGTACAGTGGAGGCCTTAGCCCACACTCAGGGTCAGAGCTGGGTGGCCCTGCAGAGATTGGACTAGCCTCATTATCAGCTGCGGACTGAGGTAGCTATCATCTCATAGTCTCCCCCAGGGGATGGTTCCATAGCCTCTGGCTTCCTGTGCTATAGCAACTGGGGTTGAGGGCTTGAGCATGTATCTCTGATGTAGTCCCTGAGCAAAGGACACCTGTATGCTGGTGGTCATGCTCCGGGTTCAGTGCACATACACTCTTCTGTTTGACTCTCCAGGCTTTCTCTGGCTCTGGGAACAGATTGGATGGGAAGAAGAAAGGTGTGGAGCCCAGTCCTTCCCCAATCAAGCCCGGAGATATTAAGAGGTGAGTTGACTCTGGCTCTGCGCCCGCTGGGTGCCTTGTCATTGTCTAGCCCACAGAGGATATATGTCAGACCCCTTTGTCTGAGCAGGGCAGCCCACTGCTGCTCTGGAGAGTGAGCCAGGATCTCCTTTGTTGGGTAGACCCCCGCAGGTCAGTGTTTGTCAGGGGAAGTGTGTTGGTACCTTCTTCACCCACCAAACCTCTCCCATGGGGAACAGCTGCTGTGCAACTCCCTCTGCCTCCAGTTCTGTCCCCAGGCACCTGATCAGAGCTCTCCCCTATTTAAAACTTTTTGATTCCATAGTTATATGCTTATTTTCCTGTTTCATGAGTTCAAGTAATTGATTAAGTCATATGTTGTCAGCTTCCCCAAACAAGCAGGAGCTTCCTCCTAAATAGTTTTTTCAATTCAGTCCAGGGAATCGGAGAACAGATTTTCTGCTTTAGGGGCCCTAATGGTAGCTGCCTGATCATTCGGCTGTGCATATTTGCACAAAGAAAAATACTGTGAATAGGGATTTACGTGGTCTCTTTGTTTTTTCTTCTTGGTTTTGGGGCCAGACTCTGCGCTTATTCCTGGCTCTCTGCTCAGGGATCACTCCTGGTGGGGCTTGGCGACCATATGTCGTATTGGGATTTCGAACCAGAGTTGCCTACTTACAGGCAAGCACCTTAATCCCTGTACTGTTTCTCCGGCCCTTAACCCTGACTCTTAAGTAGTAAAGTGATTTCAATGTAAATGTGATCTTTCGGGTGATCTGGCAGCTTGAATGGTCTCTACGGACCCCCAATTCTACAGGCTCCTGCCCAGCTCCTGCCCAGCTGCTTCCTTCTGAGGGAGATTATAAGGAGCAATAAGGTGGGTCCAACACCAAAATAGAAAATAATGAATTTTAGGATGCCACAGAGATGGTACAGCAGACAAGGAAGGTGCTTTCCTTGCACATAGTAGACCCAGAGTCAATTCCCCAGCACCCTGGGACATATCCAGGAGTAAGCCAGGTGTGACCCAAAGAAAGAAAAAGAGTATTAGTCATTTTTTACCTTCCCCCTGGAACTAACACTTCTCACTTTTTCTACAGAGGAATTCCCAATTACGAATTTAAACTTGGTAAGATCACTTTCATCAGAAATTCAAGGCCTCAGGTCAAAAAGGTTGAAGAGGTGAGTTTACTTCAAATGAGAAATTTTATTTGTTGGTGATGAGGAGGGGGATTCTTTCTATTCTAACTACAGATGTTTGTCATGTTTTACCCTTCCTGGGTTTCCCTTCTTGGTACCTAGATTGTGCTGCAGAGGTTGTGCTGCAGAGGTTGTGGGGTCTAGGCCACCTTCTAGCATCAACTGCTAGTGATAATCAACACCATATCAACTTATAGATGTTTTGTTCTTAACTTTTTTTTTTTTTTTTTGCTTTTTGGGTCACACCTGGCGATGCACAGGGGTTACTCCTGGCTCTGCACTCAGGAGTTACTCCTGGCGGTGCTCAGGGGACCATATGGGATGCTGGGAATCGAACCCGGGTCAGCCGTGTGCAAGGCAAACGCCCTACCCTCTGTGCTATCTCTCCAGCCCATGTTCTTAACTATTTAATTCGTAGGAGAGTCTAATAAGCAGCTGCTTTTGTTGGTCTTGATCTTGTTGACGCATCTGGTGTTGCCAGGGATTGAATCTAGGGCTCCTGCCTAAAGCATGGGCTCCAATTCTTTGAGCTATCTCTGAGTCCAGAATCTGCATTTTTACTTATGGGAGTGTGAAAACTCATGGAAGTCAGGGTCAAGGAGAGGAACTCCTGAATACCACATGATCTCCTTAAAAACTCTTCTGTTGGAATATAGCTCAAAATATCTTGGGCCTAACATTGATTTGTCCTTTCTCCCTTACCACAGGGAGCTTAGGTTTATCAGGATATACCCATCACAGTGCTCCCCAGTCACTCCCATTCCTCTGTGCTTATCTGTAACGTCTCTGTGCTCTCTTCCCTAACCAGTTAATCAGCTTTTCCCCCTAATCAGATTGTGTTAGTTTGTAAGGTCAGATCCTTCCAAGGACACTGAACTTGCAGTGTAAGTTAATATTGCCTTTCTCCTCTCCTTGAATCTTTTGAATTGTTTAAAGCAATGTCCTTTTTGTAGGGATAAAGGAAGACAGTTAATGTTATGCTTTTGTAACTTGGAAGTAAATTGTCTCCGAACAATACACACTCCAACAATACGCTCTCCGGGGCATCTGCTTCCTTGACTTAAGCCTCAGTTGCCCTTAAGTCTCTAGCACCCCAAAAGCAGGGTCCCAACGAGGGACTGAATGGACCTAGGGCAAGCTGTGAGCTACCCTGGCATCGAAATGGGCAGGCCAAAGCGCCACGGTACTCAACTATAAGTTGAGAGCATGGTCATGACAAATGCTGTCATGATCCAAAACTAAGGACACGATTAGGACCCTATTAGGATTAGGAAAGACTAATCTGACCTGAGCACTGTAGTCTGGGATCGAGATGACCCCAGTAGAGCAATTCTGTAAGCTTAATGTGTCTCTTACTGTGTCCATACAAAATGATTAGTATTATGAGTGTTTATATGTTTGTTGGACAAGGAGAGGAGAAACACACCCATGGGATTCCACTTTTCAGTGGGTCATCCTGCTGAATGAGAATCTGTCCTAGAAGCAGCTTCCCCTGAGGGAAAGACTTTTCCTCTGTTGACTGTATGACCACACCTTTGTGTAATTATTACTCCAACCCCTCATGATTTGGGATTTTAACTAAGACTGTAAGATGGAAAGTGGGTCCCGAAGGGCAGAAGCAGAGGGAGAATGAGAGGAGAAGGGAGATGAGATTGGAATAAACGGCATTTGAAACCAACCAGCCAGGCCCTCGTTCCTTCCTTTGTCCACCCATTGCCATCTACCTCCCCGGGGTGGGGAAAGCAGCCTGAGACTACCGAACGCAGGTGGCAGAGAGAGAGAGAGCTGCCGCTCGGGGCCCCTGTCATAATTTATTTAGTAAATACACACTCTTCCACTGGGCCAGAAAGATAATATAATAGGGAGGGCATTTTGCCTTACAGCTGACCTGAGTTCAATTCCCGGCACACCATGTAGTCCCCCAAGCACTGCCAGGAGTACCTCCTGAGTCCATAGCCAGGAGTAATTCCTGAGCATCACTGGGTGTGGTCTCAAAACCAAGAAAAAAATAGATAAAAACTCTTCCACTGGGGCTGGAGAGATAGCACAGCGGGTAGGGCGTTTGCCTTGCACGCGGCCAACCAGTGTTCAATTCCCAGCATCCCATATGGTCTCCTGAGTGCAGAGCCAGGAGTAACTCCTGTGCATTGCCAGGTGTGACCCAAAAAGCAAAAAAAAAAAAAACACACACAAAAAAAACACCACAAACTCTTCCACTAAGTCTTTTGGAGAGAGAGCAGCCCTCTTAGCCTGGGAGTGCTCTGGTATTATGAGAAGGGAAGGCTTCTGGGGCACTAGGCAGTAGGTATTAGCAAAGTGTGGTGCTTCTACCCTGGGTGCACTTCTTTCAGAAACTAAAACTCTCATAATCCAGCACATTCTCCATATAATGTACTCACACCCCAACAATTGTGAATGGCACAGGCACCTGCGTGTGCCCTGTATTTAAAGAACACTGGCACTTGAGACCCTCTGCATTTCTGGTTCCTTCTCTGCAAGTCCTGGACTTGTGGAGAGCTAGCTGCGCAGGGAGGGCAGATGCACAGTGAATCATTCAGGCTGGGCTCTCAGGCCATTAGCTACTTTCTTGCTGCACAGTTCTTGCTGAAGATGGGACTGGATTTATACATTTAACTCTACTACATCCTCAAACTCAAATAAAGCCATGGAATAGGCTATAAAGTAAATGGATGGCAAAAAGAGACAGTAGGCAGTTGCAACCAAATGTGGTAAGAGCAGGAAAAATGGTAACTGGTCTCATAGGTGGCCATAGAAAGCTTGGTATAAACAGGCTATGAGAAGAACCAAGAGGCAGTTGGTTTAGATGGCAGAGTTGAAAGGCATCTCTGGAAATGGGGACTAACAATGCAATGTCTATCACAAACCAGATCTCAGCACCCTCCTTTCCCTTGTCTTGCTCAGGCCCCCCCTCCCAGCCCAGGGAAGGCTGGAGACTTACTTTGTGAAGCCTGTCTAGCCCTTCTACACTGCATCAGCGCCATGGGTAGCACAAGCAGATTAAGAGAAGGAAAAGTCTATATAACCTAAATCTAGTCGCCTTTGGTGTCCTTCCCCTGCTTGATGCCCAGGCATCTGGACTTGATGCTGTAATTGGAGGCAGGAGTCACTTGCTGTGAATAGTTTGACAAACACCAGCTCACCCCAGAAGAACAACTTTGGAGAGCACCAAGTTTACATTGGTAACACCCAAATTATAGGAGTTTAGAAGAGATTAGAGAAGCCAAAGAAGAAGAAACCATTATGAAATAGTTTCCCCTAAATACAGGGCATGAGTTTTTATATTTGTTGTTGGCTTTTTGATCCATGCCCAGCAGTAGTTGGGGGCTACTTCCCACTCTATGGTCCATGAGTTTCTTCCAGCAGGACTTAGTTAGGATCAGACGCATACCAGGCAGGTACTCTCTCGATAATATCCCCACAAAAATGAGGGAAATAGATAGTGGTCGCCTTAGATCTGGGTCACAGAGTCTCCATAATGTACAGCACTGAGAGGATGTCCAGTGCAGACAAGGAAGCCTGAAGGCCCCCGGGGACACTACCCACCATGTGTTATTAAATGTTGCAAACAGTTACAGACCACAGGATAAAGGGAAGGCATTGTAGGAAACAGTAAGCAAAATGAAACATTATGTAAGTCTCTTAAGAGTTTCAGAAAATAATATTTCATCTTCACATTTAGGATGAAGCTGGGGGCAGATTCGTCGCATTCTCTGGAGAAGGACAATCCTTACGCAAAAAAGGAAGAAAGCCTTAAATTGGAACTATTGGCTGACTGGAAAATAAAAGAATCGATTGCAACATATAATGGCTTTTAGTTACTGGCTCTGCCCGGGATGAAACTATATCTGGACGCTCTGTGACTTTTGGTTTGCTTAGAGTTACCTAAAAATGACCGCATTTGACATTGAAGTAGAACAGCAAAACTTCATGATGTGTGCTTGGTTTGGGGAAAGAAAAAAACCAACTCTGTTCCTGAAAGATTGAAATTTCTCAATTTCAGCTTCTCAATTTCAGCTTAGAGGGGCCCACTCCCACTCACTCACAGCCAAAGCCTCCTTCCTAACAAAGGACAGTGGAGGGAGTTTAATTGCTCTGATTTAAAGTGCTCTCTTTTTCAGTTTGTCCTTTCTTTTTTCTGGTCCATAGCTTAGAAGTTGCCTCAGGCCTTGGGTAGGGGGGGAATGGTTTAAATTTATATTCTATAAAGTGTTTATTCCATTACTCTGGCTATAATTTAAGTATTTGAAGAAGGTTGTTTTGTTTCAGTTTTTTTTTTCTTCGAAAGAACTGTTCCTCAGAAGGAAAACCAATCCATATGCCTTTCTACTTTTATTTTATATGAAAATAACTGGTTCCTTAACAAGTATGTTCTATGATGAAACAATTTTGTGGCAAAGCACAAATGTGATTAGAACAAAAACGTGCTAACAATATCTTCTTTATCTGCCCTATATCCCAAGTCTATTTTACTGTATTAAGTTATCCGAGGTTCTGCTTGCCTGTCATTTTTTAACTGTAGTGTTTGGTCTCAGATATTCACTATGTGATATATTCTGACATGTTAATCCAGTTATTTAAATCTCTTGTTCCTCAAAATAAAACGGCCGATGATTAAAACCAGGTTGCCTCTAACTGTTTGATTGGATACCCACATGAATTGTTGGCTGGACACTCACCAGGCGTTGGAGGGAGGACACCGCTAGTGCTTGCAGGTGCCATTTGTTGCACAGTATGATTTGAAATAACTCCTCTAGGACTTCTGGACACTACAGTGAGGAATGAGACTGATAGGATGGGGGTGGTCAGGCACACTTCTGATCCCCATGGAATCCCCCCTTTGTACTGGCACTCCACCCAATACTCAAGAAAAGAGATTGCTCTTGGAGCCCAGGGTCCACTCACATGTTCTCAGAGAAGCAGTAAATGCTAATCTTGATGACCAGGGCTAGGCCCTGTGGCCCAAAGTATAACCACTGATGAGCCCTGAATATAGCTAGGTGTGCTCCCCCTGGCCCCACCAAAAACAAGACTTACACGCCTGGGTACATCAGGAAATCAGCCCCCTTCTTAGCTCCCCACCATCAACACATTTAACGCCCAAGCATCTCTGGTAATTTTGTGAGTTCACATACACCTAGAGTGAACACTAGGAAGACGAACACTGTAGCCAAAGCTTTGAGGAAGCCTTAGTACATAGTATGTATGTACTTAATAAAATGAACTGACTCTTTGGACCTGGGAGATAGACTATGGGCTGGCGTGCTAGAGGTTGAATCTCCTAAGCCCAGAAACGACCCTGAACTCGAGCTGGAATGAGTAACCACGCTGCATGGCGGGATTTGGCCCAAAATCAAAAAAGAAGAAAGGACCCGGCATTAACTGCACTGCTTCAGGAACAGCCAACTGCATTGCTTCAGAAACAGCCCGCGAGACATCAGACCGATGACAACTTATCTCTGGGGCTCCCAAGGCACCCAAGGCGGCGACCCCACCACGCGCGGTTGCCTTTCAACTAGCCTACTCGGATCTCCTGCTCATTGGCACGCGTCGGGGAGGGCGGGGCTTGTGACGTCACTTCTAGGATGCCATTGGTTCCTCTGGCCGTCAGTCCACCCTGTTCCGGACTTTCCTGAGTCTCCATTGGTGAGCGGCCTCTCAGCAGTTGCCGGGACATGGCCGAGGCCGGCGGCTGGCGGGTAAGTGTGAGCGCCGGGACCGTGGCGATCTTACGAGACTGGACTGTCAAGAGTCCCGCGGCTCGCGAGCGGGTGGGATGTGGCCGCGGGGCGGGGGCGCAGCCCCTCTGGCTCTCGGGCGCGTCTCTCCCTGCAGCCGCCGCGCCCCTGCGAGGCCTACCGCGCCGAGTGGAAGCTCTGCCGCAGCGCCCGGCACTTTCTGCACCACTACTACGTCCACGGAGAGCGGCCGGACTGCGAGCAGTGGCGGCGCGATCTGGCCAGCTGCCGCGAGTGGGAGGAACGCCGGAGCGCCGAGGCCCAGGTGCGCGGGGCAGGCCCAGGGTGTCCCGCGTGGAGTGCGCGAGCCGCGCGCGCCGCCCGTCTGCAGCGCCGGGCTCTGGCGCTCAGCATTTACCGGCCCTTCCCCGCCCGGGTTTCCCCTTTTTGAGAAATACCAAAAATCAACGGGGCATGGGGCTGGAGCTGTTGCACAGCCGGTAGGGCGTTTGCCTTGCACGCAGCCGACCCCAGCATCCCATATAATCCCCTGAGCACCGACTGGAGTAATTCCTGAGTGTATGAGCCAGGAGTAACCCCTGTGCATCATCAGGTGTGACCCAAAAAGAAAGAAAAAAAATCAACAGGGCATTCCGACTCCACTGAAGGACAGAAGCGAGGAGGGACGTGCTTTGAGGGAGAAGAGGGCTTCACTTAAAGAATAGCGAGGCGGGGATCCTCCAGGGAAGGGTAGAGCTTGGAGAGCTACCAGGGGCTGCCCTGCGTTGATTCTGGCCTAAACTGTTGATTTGATTTCTTTCCGTCTGACCGCCCAAATGGGAGAGCGTATCATGGAGGGTCTAGGAGGTGGTTTCAGTTGTCTGTCCACCCATTCAGCAGGTATTTATGTTGGGCACTTTTTTGGTTGATTGGGGGCCACACCAGTCTGTACAAGGGGCTGGGTGCTTAAAGGGACGCTGTGAACAGGACCATGCGGTTTCTATCGGTTTCCCTCCAACTCTTTGAGCCATCCCCCAGCCTCTGTTGCCACTCCTGGGAAACAGGAGATATGAGAACCAGAAACCCCCCTCCTCCCCCCGCCCCCACTCTAGGATACTGTGGCTCTTTGGGCAAGGCCTTGCAGGGAGGAGGATGGAGAGGATCTGTGAGGGCGCAGGGCACATGGTGCCAGAAGAGAGGCCAATAGGACTGGCCACTGCTTCAGCAGTTATTTTTTGTTTTGTTGGCTTTGTTGTTAAACGTTTATGATTGTGGGGCTAGAGAGAGCGCGCAGGAATTGGGCGCTGCCTTCCATGTAGCTGACCCTAGCACTACTTACGGTCCCCTGACTATGGCCCCACAAAAACATACAATTAAAGAAAAGGCTGATAAATTCATAGTAAATGGAAATCTAAAAATTGGGAAAGTTAGCTTGAAACCTATAAACCTAATGGCAAAATTGATGAACTTTTTTTTTTTTTTTGCTTTATGGGTCACACCTGGCAATGCTCAGATGTTACTACTCCTGGCTCTGCACTCCTGGCGGTGCTTGGGGGACCATATGGAATGCATGCCTGGGATCAAACCGGGGCTGGCAAGTACAAGACAAACGCCCTACCTACTGTACTATCACTTTGGTCCAAAATTTGTGAACTTTTTAATTTTCCCAAAGACATCATATATGAGTCATAGTTATATAGTTCAGTGGCAAGGTGAATGCCTTGCATGCATTAGACCTGGATTCAGTTCCCAGCAACACACACACACACACACACACACACACACACACACTAAAAACTCTTCCTCCACAGAGCTCATTTATTGGTAAGTAAAACAGGAATGAGGTAAGAGGTTTTGTAATTGCCTGCATCCCAACTTGGGATGTGTAATATTTTCCTTTTACTACATGAGGTTTCCTCCTCTTTCTTCTCTCCCATATTTTCCAAATAAAATTGTTTTCAGTATTAAAAAGAGTAATGAGGGCCAGAGAGAGATAGTATAGGAGGTAAGGTGCTTGCTTTGCATGTGACTTACCCAGTTCTATCCCCACCACTGCTCAGTCCCATTGAGCAGCTCCAGGAGTGATACCTGATCACCACAGGATGTGACCACCTCTCTCCCCCACACCCCCAATGAAAGTAATGATTTCATAATAGAAAAATACACAAAAGGCTTGAGAAGAAATTTAATTCAAAATGAAAACCGGGAGGTGGTGGACGATGGGAGGGAACCTGGAGACACTGGTACTGAGTAACGAACACTGGTAGAGGGATGGGTGTTGGAACACTATGACTGAAATCCAATCATGAACATTTTTGTAAGAGTCTATCACAGTGATTCAATAAAAAAGTTAAAAATATTAAAAATTTTAAAAAGAAAACCAGGGGCCAGAGAGGTAGTACATAGGTAGAGCATGTGTCTGGCACACAGCCGACCTGGGTTTATCCCCAGCATCCTTTTTGTCCCCTGAGCAAAGAATCAGAGTAACACCTGAGCATCACTGACCCCCCCCCAAAAGAGAGAGAGAGAGAGAGAGAGAGAGAGAAGAAAACCAAATAGTCCGACATAAAAGCAGCAAGTGGTCTGTGCTCAGTTGGGTGTCAGAAGGGTATTGGAAAGTCAGGAGTAAAGTGTTCAGGTTACCTACCTGTAAATGCATAGCTTTTGTCTCTGCAGTTTTTACCTCTGAGAACTTACCCTAAAGAAGTAATTAGGCAATAAGGGTACATTTCAAGTTCCAAAATGGGGGACTAGAGAGAACAGGGATAAAGGAGAATGCAAGGCAAGTAGTTAACCCAGATTTGATTCCCTGGCACCCCATGGTTCCCTGAGCACTGGGAGTGGCCCCTGAACAGAGAGCCATGTGTGACCCTAACCTACACCTTATCCCATTCCTCCTCCCTCCCCTCCAAGAAACTTCCAAAGTGGGCACTGGAACACATGCTTTGCATGAAGAAGGTCCAGATTTGATACCCTGTACTGCATGGTTCCCTAAGCACCAAATTTTGAGTACTACCAGGTATGGCAAAAAGAAAACCAAGCAACATCAGCAAGGTGCCAAAATGGAGGCAGGGGATATACTCAAGAGGAGTGGAGATTGGCAGAAAGGTGTCCCTGGGCTGGGATCACGTGGACCCCTCACCCATCCAGGGAGTCCTGAGCGTGTGTGTGGCCTCCTCCTTTCTATCTATGCTTGCTCTCCTTCCAACTCGGCACCCAGCCTGGTCTTAGCAGGTGAGCGTCATGAGGTCAACCAAAGATATCAAGTCTGGAGTCCTCTAAGGTATTTTAAATTTTCTTAAATTGTTGTTTTACATAATCTTTCCGTTTGGGAGAACAAGTGATCTAGATCTCTGTGGTATAGGAGAAAAAAAGTGTGCAGGTTCATTAGGTAGAAGAAGCCAAGTTTCAAAGTGGTGTACTGTGTTAATCTGTGTCTGGGAAGTTGTGGAGGCAAAGGGAGTTTCCAGGGGTCCTGTGGGGGCACAGAAAGACAATAAGTGACTGTGTTCTCCTTTGCACAGCGGTCCCTCTGTGACAGCGAGCGTTCAAGAGTCCAGGCAGCACAGAAATATGCACTGGTGTGGACCCCAAGGCAGAAGCCCCCTGCAGACTGGCACCTCCCTCTGCCAGAGGAGGAGAACGACAAGTGATGAACACCCCTGTGTGGCTGGGATCAGTTACAGGACCCTAAGGACTGTGCCCCCCTGCCCCCCCTCCCCTTGCACGCATGCGCGCGCGCGCACACACACACAGTCTAGAGGGTTCCAACCTGACTTGGAAGACAGATTGAAGTGTTTCCATTCTGACCCTCTGGCCCTTACCTTGTACAGAGTCCCCTTCTGTGCTCTAAATGACAATTGTGTGCACTTAAAGCCAAGCACCACTGCAAGTCTCTGAGCCGCCTGGCCAGGCAGGCACCCCTTACCCCAAGAAATGCCATCCTGAGGGGTAGAAGTATCAGGTATACTATTGACTGGTAGACCTGACCCCTGTGGACATGAGCAACTAAATTGTTGTGCTGTGGTAAACAGATTTCCAGGTCTCCACTTGGCGATGGGTTTCCATTGCCAGCGGTGGTGCCCCTGCCGCTGAGACCCATGTTTGAAGTTCCTCCAGAGTAGGCTAGTTCATGCCTCTGGGCTGACACATTGTACCTCCTGGGCTTACAGTAGAAATGTTGGAGACTTCTTTCTGTTTGGGGTTTTTTTTTTTCTTTTTCAATGCTCATGGCTACACAGCATGTGAGCTATAAAAAATGGTTATTAAGCACAGAGCCAGGAGTAAGTCCTGAGCACTGTGCTATGGTTACGACCACCCCCCCCCCCCCCCAAATAATAATAAAAGAAAGTAAGGTTAACAGACTCTTGGCTTAAAAAGGCAATCCCCAATCCAGAGAGATAGTTCCTGCTTTCTCATGCAGGGGCCCCAAGTTCAATCTCTGATATCACATGGTTTCTGGCACAACTGGGAGTGGCCAGGGAAGGATCTTAATGGTAGAGCCCTGGGTTCAATCCATAGAACCACAAAACAAGGAAAGAGAAAGAATAAAATGCAAGTTGGAGATGCATGAAACTTTGATCTCCTTCCCTCGAAATTTCCTCTGGTCATTTTTCAGGAAAATGGAATTTATCAAAAATGACTTCACTTACTGATTCCAAATAGAAGCTGAAAATTGAGTGCACAACTCATTTAACTTTTTCATTCATTTTTGTCCTCTGGTATATTAGAATTTTTTATACTTAGAGGTTTTAAACATTGATATGTATGAACCAATGAAAACATACTATGAAAGGACACCGTATGCCCAGTGGCCTCCTGCTTCTCTTCCTCACAGCCAGGGGGCCTTCAGCACTAGGTCTCAGCATGACCACAAGTGATGAGCCAAGTATCTGTGCACTGAATCTTGGGGGCAAAATAATTCATCTCTTTATAAGGGCCATACATCAAAGAATAAAACTCCTCTTACGCTTTATTTCCTGTGTGCCTCAAGAATTCCTTTGTGTATCTGTGAGTGGTTGGGTGTTATGTGTACACAGAAACCCAGGAGCAGAGGTAAGTATATCAAGAGCCAGGGCTGGGGCCAGAGTACAGCAGTAGGGCGTTTGCCTTGCATGCATCCAACCCGGGTTCAGTCCCTGGCATCCCATATGGTTCTCTGAGTGCAGAGCCAGGAGGAACCCCTGAGCATCACTGGGTCTGACCCATAAAAGCTAAATAAATAATAAAGCAAATAAATGCATGTTTAAAAAAAAAGCCAGGTTTGGGGGAAGCCTCAATGTGTCTCTACGCTGTATTGTTGATATCTTGCACCTCACATGCAGTGGGGGTGTGAGAGGTCTCCCCACATCTCAAATATAGATTATAAATCGCATTCTTTCGTAGGTTGGATTAGTTAGCTAGAGCAGTCAGGGCCAGAGAGATAGTACAGAGGGTAGGGTGCTTGCCTTGCACGCTGGATTCAATCCCTGACACCCCATATGGATCCCCAATCCCCACCAGGAGTGATCCCTGAGCACAGAGCCAGGAGTAAGTCCTGAGCACTGCCACATGCCCTCCCCCCCCAAAATGTAATAAGGTAGAGTAGTCCCCATCAAAACTGGAAATCCTTTCACTCGCTGGACTATGGATGACAAAGGATCTAACTAAAGAATAGCCAGGTATAAATGTGTAAGGCAAGTGGCAGAGTTTCCATGCCCTTTCAAGGCAAGCCTTTTTTCCAAATTGCCTTGTGCTCACCAGCTGCTTTCACTCTCTGAAATCCCCAATTTTTGACTCGAAGGCAGCATCACATGGACATGACAGATTAACTCAGGAATTTAAGCTCAACTTCCAGCCCTACTCTTCTCCCAAGAGGTCAGGTGTGACTGAAAGCTCCAGATCTCATTGTTGGTGTCACAGGAACACCCCCTCCCCATTTTCTCTAAATTATTTTTGTAGATCATTCCCCCCCTCCTTAACCAGCAATACTCGTGAAATTATTTTTGTTAGTATAGTTACTTTTAACACTCTCAATACTTAGGAAATTCCAAAGCCTTTAGAAGCTGTGAGCACAAAACTGAAGACTAAATATGTGTGAGGACTGTATTTTGGTGATTAGAATGTCCAAGATGACTATTTCCTATGACATAAGCCAATCAGGGTATTTTCATCATGTCTGTGGCTAATTTCATGAGTATTTCTGGTTAAGGGGGGTGGGGAATGATCTACAAAGTTTTCTCCTCCGAAACACAGCAGGGACATTTGAATTTTGTAATGTGTCAATGATGTTTGGAATTGCAAAGGTTGGAGGATGTGGGACATTCAGGAAATGCATGGGAAGGAACAATCAGTCTTGAAGCTCAACTCCAGGGTAACACTTTCCCAGACATTTGGGAATCCTGTCTGAATGTTTTGTGAGGAAGAACGTTCTTTTTGTTGTTGTTTTTTTGGGTCACACCCAGCACTCCTGGCTCTGCACTCAGGAATTAACCCTGGCTGTGCTCAGGTGATCATATGGGATGCCAGGATCAAACCCAGGTCAGCCACGTGCAAGGGAGACGCTCTAGCCACTGTACCATCGCTTCAGCCCCCAGAATGTTCTTTCTTTGCTATAAGTTCCACATCAATAAGCATCCCACTTCTATGCTTTTCAGATACCCAATCACCTACGTACCAGACGAGGCTTAAGGCTCTGGGATGACAGTCTTGAGCAGAAGTTGATTCTAAGAATTTCACTTAGGAGTTTAAGGGTCAGACATAAGCACATAAGACATAAGGGCCTAAAGTGGTAAGATCTGTGAAGATAGTGAAGAGTAATTAGAATGGTATAATGCTTTTTGGGCAAAACTCAAGTGTTTCATGCTGTGATCTGGTCCATGCTATTACAGCATATATTGTAGAAACAAACTATACAAAGGAATTTTTAATTTGTACCGTGATGCACTGACGTGCTCGTGATAACAAAAAATGCATGCAACAGGGGGCTGGGGCAATAGCACAGTGCGGAGGGCGTTTGCCTGGCACGCGGCCAACCCGGGTTTGATCCCCAGCATCCCATTTGGTCCTCCGAGAACCACCAGGAGTCATTCCTGAGTGCAGAGCCAGGAGGAACCCCTGTGCATCACCGGGTGTGACCCAAAAACGAAAAAAAAAAAAAAAACCCTGCATGCAACAACTTTGATGAAACTCAAGGAAATTAGGCTGTTTTTTTTTTTTTTTTTTTTTTTTTGCTTTTTGGGTCACACCCGGCAATGCACAGGGGTTCCTCCTGGCTCTGTGCTCAGGAATTACCCCTGGTGTTGCTCAGGGGACCATATGGGATGCTGGGAATCAAACCCGGGTTGACCGCGTGCAAGGCGAATGCCCTACCCGCTGTGCTATTGCTCCAGCCCCAGGCTGAACTTTTTTTTATTGTAAAAAATACAATGGTTTTCCCACCAGCAGTGAAGGAGAATCAAAACCCGAGTGCTCCAGCGGGTAGGGCGTTTGCCTTGCACACGGGCCGACCCGGGTTGGATTCCCAGCATCCCATGTGGTCCCCTGAGCACCGCCAGGAGTAATTCCTGAGTGAAGAGCCAGGAGTAACCCCTGTGCATTGCCGGGTATGACCCAACAAGCAAAAAAAAAAAAAAAAAAAAAAAAAAGAGTGCCCGAGAACAGAAAACTGGTTAGAAGGGAGCACCAAATAAAGGGTGTTGGGAGGATTCTCCCAGGATGGGAGAAGCATGCTGAAAGTAGACTATAGACCAAACATGATTGCTACTCAGTGCCTCTTTTGCAAACCACAACACCCAAAAGGAGAGAGAGAACAAAGGGGAATGCCCTGCCACAGAGGCAGGGTGGGATTGGGGGGGGGGGGGTAGGGGGTGGGAGGGATACTGGGATCTGTGGTGGTGGGAAATGGGCACTGGTGGAGGGATGGGTACTCGATCCTTATATGACTGAAATGCAAGCACAAAAGTTTGTAAGCCTGTAACTGTACCTCATGGTGATTCACTAATAATTTTTTTTTAAATACAATGGTATGGTTCCATTTGTGTAACATCAGTGAAAGTGTAATAGAGACAGACTTCGTGGTGTCAGAGGTTGGGGATGGGAGGTGTAGGTGTGGTTAGAGGTACGTGAGGGTATGCCTGGCCCTAGTATTTTTTTTTTTAAACAACCATACAGTAGGAAAACTGTGTGTGTGTGTGTGTGTGTGTGTGTGTGTGTGTGTGTGTACTTTGGGTCACATCCAGCTATGCCCAGAACTTACTCCTGGCTCTGTGCTCAGAGCATCACTCCTGGCTGTGCCTGAGTGTATACTGGGATCACACTCTGGTTAGTTACTTACAAGGCAGTTCCTTACCTACTGCACTATCTCTCTAAACAATCTTAATTTTTACTCATGTGAGAGGTTTATGAACACAGACTTTCTGACATAGTAATGCAAGTAATCAGGAGAAATGCTTTAACTAATACATTGGACCTTCTCAGGCTTAAGTGTCTGTCTAAACCTACCTTGAAGCTCTAGCCACTTGTACCACAGAACATCACAGTATTTGGAGAGGGTCTTTACATTAAGAGAAAATTAAGGAAAATGAGGCAAGAGATAGTACTGTGAGTAGGGCATTTGGCTTTCACACAGCCAACCCAGGTTTGATCCCCAGCATTCCATATGGTTCTCTGAGTACCACCAGGAGTAACCTGAGCATTGTCAGGTGTGGCTCCAAATAAAACAAAAAATTAAGGAAAATGAGGTCATTAACGTAGCCTCCACTCTGTTAAG